AGGAAGGGTAGGACCTGTTATAGGGGCCCATTCCCAAATATTGGTTGCCTGGCCCTGCTGCAAGAATAATCTGCAAAGGAGCAGGCAGTTGAGGCTAGGCAATGTCTCATTTCTGTATTTATATCCCCAGTACCTAGGAAGAAAATGGAAGCCAAGGTAACTGAGTTCAGGTGCTGGGCAGGATTACCAACACAGCTGCGGAATGGAGGCTCTAAACCCTCTCTGACTATGTTCTGAAAAATCTGAAGTAGTGAGCCAATATATGTGTGGGGGGAAGGGGAAGGGTGAGGAAGGAAAATTATCAAGAAACAGCTTGTAGCAGAAAAAGGAGTGTAATATAAAAATGTGTCAAGTTGCAAAATTCAAAGGCCGGATGCTTTATGGCCTGCCCTCTCACCACGGAGCCTCTAATGTACATTTCACAGGCTTTTCTGGGTTTAGAGGTTTTGTACAAATACCATTCAATGTCTTTGTGATGCCCAGGGGAGCATTTTTTAATCTATTAGAGATGAGAGGACCTGAAAACCATTTAAAGTCGCTTAGGTCGTAATGGGCAGGAGAATTTAGAAGTGTCTTATGAGGTGGAGGGTCATGTATCATGCTGGGTCATCTGGACTGAGAATACAAGACAATTTTCCAGGAAAAAAGAAGTTTTTAAGAAAGAAATTTTTTTTGAATGCTCTAAAGATTCTTCAAGGTCCAAAGGCACTGCCACCCTTGCATTTCACGGGGGTGGGTGAAATCATGAAATCTCAATGAATGAGAAAGCTGAAAGGGACCTCGGAGACCATCTTTCATTTTATAGTAGGGAGGGAGGGAGGGAGATTGGGGTACAGAGACCGTAACTGACTTGCCAGAAGTCACACAAAGGTTGAGAAAGGATTTGAACCCAGGTCTCCTGTCAGTTCAGTTTGATTATTTTGAACAAACATTCATAAAAGCCTCCTTTGTGCAAGGTATTGTGCTAGTCACAGGTTATAGAAAGATAAAAAACAAAATTACAAAGAAGAAAAATTACATAATCTCTGTCCTTAGGGAACTTACAGTTGAGTAGGGATTGAGACATTTACACAAATAGCTGTAATACAAGTCCGATGTACTTTCCAGTGGCGGTGACACATGGCCTCCAGCCGTGCTCTGAAATATATACCTTTTGAATGCATTCATTTCCCTGGGAAGGTCTGGTCTCGACAAAGTGGTACTTAATATCTCCCAGTGTTAGAAACTTATTCTGAGGTTTGTTTTATCCCTTGGAAGTGAGAATTTTCTTTTCCTTTCTTCCCTTTTCTCTTAACATTTAAAGTCTCCAAACATTTCCTAGGCTTGAGGACCAAATGCGATTTTAATACAGGCGTTATTAGTTTAGGGGCCCTTCAGTCACTGACAAATACACTTAACGACTCTAGCAGTGTTCTGATCAGGCTGTCAGGGTGGAAGAAACATGGGGAAAAGATGACTGGAGAGTCTGAACACCACTTGAACAATAGCTGTTCTGGGTAGAGGAGGGAGATTCTATTATTCTTTCTCTCCTCCTCCTCACATCCATCCCTCATAAACAAGTATGGGGCGGGACCACAGGGTTCCAAAGGATGTCATCTTAGGTAGGCTTCCTGGCTTGGACCCCTCTCATAGAATTTATAATAATATAATATACCTTACAGATCATCTCACTCCACCTTATTATTTCATAGATGAGGAAATTGAGGCCCAGAGAAGGAAATAATATTCATCTGGTAAGCAAGCGGTAAGAACCCTAAATTTAAATTTGGAACAAGATTTTCTGACTCCAAATCCTTAGCAACAACATACCACACCACACCATGTAGCCTTTCAGCCCTTAAGAAATATCTTAGGCTCTCTCATATTGCAAAATGCTAGGGCATGAGTTCCAGTATCCACTTTCCCCTTGAGTCCCTCCAAGTAATATGATCTGCAACCTGTTTTGCAAAAGGGGCCTATTAAGAGATGTGACATTTGAGTTTTGCTGTTGGTTAAGATGGTAATTTCATGAAAGTGCCAGCTGCAGGGGCAAATGACTTTTTAATGTTGGAACAAAAGCATCAGTGAAGTGGTGAATGTAGGGGGTGTGTTTGTGTGTGTGTGCGTGTGTGTGTGTGTGTGTGTGTGTGTGTGTGTGTCTGTTGCATTGTGTGCTCAGGCACCAGCCACTGACTTCAGTGTCCCTGGAGAGGCCCGAGGGAAAGATTTTGTCCAGCAGAGGGCAGCCCAGACATGGTCCTCTCCAGAAGCCTCTTAGAAGCATTTATTTAGGGGGCCCTTAGCTCAGTACCCCACATAATGAAGGCAGGTGGGCTGCTTGCTTAGGAGTGAATGATCCACCCAGATGGATCCAGAGACAACTAGGGGATAGCCTAGCTATAGGTACAGAAAAGGCTCCAGAATCAGAACATCTGAAAGAAAAAGCACATCCCAAGCAAACAAAAGACAGTTTTTTAAGCTGGTCGTCTTTTAAGTGACCCTCTTGAATTTCATGGAACTCTCTCAGAAGAAGCAATCTCTCCCCTCTACCCATCCCCATTCCCAAGCTGCATATGACTAGGATAAAATCAAGCTTGTCTGAGGGCAGGATGGGTTGTCTCTCTTGGGAATTTTCCAACCTGAAAAAGTCGGATTCATACAGTGAACTAACACCCTGTCAAGGGCTTGGGAAAGTTAGTCACAGAATCTCAGAGCTGAAGGGACTTCAGAGGCCTTGAAGGTGCCCCCACCCTACCCCCAACAACAGCAGTAACAGCAGCATCACTGCCATTTTTACACCTTAAGTTTTCAAAGCACTTTATTAGTGTGGTTCAGCCACTACTGGAAGACCAGTGGTAGGGGGAACCTGTTACTTCTGGAGACAGCCCATGGCACCTTTTAGATCAATCAGCTCAACCCCCTCATTTGTAAAGATGGAGAAACTGAGGTCTAAAGAAGGAGAGTGACTTGTGCAAGGTCACATAACAAGGCAGAAGCAGCTCATTCTTACTCCTCGACCATTCCCAAGTTTCTCAGTCCGACTGGCAGGGGCAAGCCAGGCCCCCTTTTCCGAGGCTGGCTCCATATAGAGGGCCGGCCATTGCCTTTCACCTAATATTTCTCTTCCTTCTACTTCTTGCTCTGTTAGCTGTGCTGCATTACTTCTCCATGAATTTTAAAGTGTGCCTTTTCTGTGTTTCCCTCAGCTTCTGGCTTGATGGGGAAAGAATAATTGTGCCGCGTGGCAAAGCACCGCAAAATGAAACATTCGGTGTACTCCACACAGCCTCCCATCAATCCTGGGAGTTTTGATCCTTCCCCCACACCTCCCCCTCCTCCAAGCCTCTCTTGGCCGCTACTTGGATTTTCTTCCCTGAAAGAATATGATCATAAAGTTTATTGTTGTTCCCTCACAGCCCCCAGTGAACAAGATGCTGGCGATACAGATTTCTGCATGTGAAGGATTTATTCCACTACCTTGCTCCATAGGACCAAAGAGAGAGAGAGAGAGAGAGAGAGAGAGAGAGAGAGAGAGAGAGAGAGAGAGA